GGCATACCGCCTTCGATCTTCTAGCGATGCTGCTGCCACATGGGAGATGAAGCCAATAGGATACCGAGGGATACTGATGAGAAAATGAGACATGGAGGGGAAAAGAGAAACATGCATGGGGTAAGCATAGGGGAGAAGGGAGACAAACACAACAATGGTAGCCCACCAGAATCTAAGAACAAATCAAGTACTACAGCACCGACCTTGTGCGAATTCCATGCAGCAGAAGTTGAGCGACCACACGGACGCGAGCAAGCACTAGTGCACGCAAGGGCATACCCACACTCAACCCATGGCCCGTTTCCGATTCTCGTGACCCCCCCTCAGTCGTCGCCTTATTCAGCCATAACACTCCTCGCAAGACCCAAACACCATTGCACGAAGGCTGCTGGCAGTGATCGAGCCTGGTGACCAGAGCTCGCAGCCAAGGGTCACTCCCTCGACATAAAATCAAATGTGAGATTTCTGTAACATTCAAGACAGCGACTGTGCCCACGGGGCAGCCCGGTCCCCAGCTAAGCCGTGGGTGCAGCGCACCGTGTGCGATGCACAGAGCATATCGCATGCACTGGCCACGTAATTTGTCATTTGCCAGTAGGTTCCCACCCTTCTGAACGGTCTCTGGCACTCGCGTGGGCTTCCACGCAGAGTGTCTGCCGTCCGCCGACCTCCAGGAAGGAATTCGACGAGGGAGCCGAACCATACAAAAAACAGGAAACGTGACGAGGTCGGCACGCATGGCTGAGTTTGCGAACGGCCAGTCAGTCGGCGGTGTAGTTACTGACCGTTCGCTTGGGCTGCGCACCTGTAACGCAATGGGCAATGGGACCAAGGACGGCTGGTCGTACGATGCCCAACCTACTGCAACGTCCGCGCGGCCCTCTCCGCCACAGGACAGCCGATGCGAGACGGAGGAACAGGAGGAAGACGATGAGGATACCGAGGAGGAGAAATCGGAGGCCGCCGAAGCGGGGCCCGAGCGGAGGGTGTCGGAGCATCGCGTCGCACCGGCGATGCTTCGGCGGCATCGGAGTAGGCAGGGACGTAATGAAATAAGAAGGGGCGCCATGAAATCTGGGGAAATATCATGGCCCGCGCCCTGAAATCCCCCCCCCCTTAGTCATCACCCCCCTCTTTGCCGCCCCCGACCGGCGATGCCTCGGCGGCATCGGAGTAGGCAGCATGGGGCCCCGCATCTGACCAGCCTGGAACATATCCCTATCCCTATGCTGGGCATCTCCTCATCACGATGCCAATCTCAGGGATTCCCCTCGTTTTTCAGGGGAATCCCTAAGATTGTCATCGCCTTTTTTGGGGGCGTCAATCTTAGGGATAGGGATACGTTCGAGGCTGGTAAGCATCGGTCCTCATCGCCGGTGCATCGACGCAGCGGCGCGACCCTCCGACCCCAACCCGCTCGGGGGCCCCGGCGCTGGCGGAGCCCCGGAGAGAGCCCGAGGCAGAGCCGCGGAGGAGGAGGAGGAGGAGGAGGAGGCGGAGGAGGAGGAGGAGGAGGAGGAGGAGGAGGAGGAGGAGGAGCGCAGCGTAGGAGGACGGAGGAGGAGGAGGAGGAGGAGGAGGAGGAGGGGGAGGGGGAGGAGGAGGGGGGGGAGGGGCAAGCGAGGAGGGCGAGGGCAGCAGGGCCGGCGGGCCGCGGGGTGGTCACCGCTGCGGCGGGTCCTCGGGACTCGGCGCCTCGCCCTGCCGCACGGAGGCCTGGCGCGCGCCGCGCTTGTCGTCGCAGCCCGAGGCCGCCTGCTGCAGGAGCACCCTCGCGTGCACCTGCCTGGTGATCCGCATCCTGCGCCGGGCCTTCATGGCCTTCAGGGCCTTGGCAGCCTTCACAGCCTCCAGGGCCCGCTGCATCTCCTCGTCGGCCGTGCCGGGGAAGCTCATGATACAGGCAGTCTCCGGTAAAATAAGCGTTGGCTCCACGGTGCTTCCTCGATCCTGGGAGGCTTGTGCCCAAATGGCTGCAGAGGCTTGCGTCGCTCTGTATCAGCAGAAAGGTTGATCCCCGATCAGTGCTTGCACTGAAGGGGTCATCGCGGAAGTTGAAAGATTTGGCGAAAGTGTCCCGCCGATTTTGGTCGCACGCTGGGTTCCCGGGTTCCCGGGTTCCCAGTTCCGGTTTCTGGGCCGATTTCGGAGGGCGGCGAGGTTCCCGGGTTCCCGGGTTCCTGGTCGATCTTCTTATCGATCGGTCTCATCGTCGATCTCATTACCCACTTCTCTATCGATCTCTCCATCGATCTCACAATTGATCTCACTATCGATCTCACAAGCGACCTCACTAGAGATCCAATGAGCGATCTCGCGATCGATCTCACAGTCGATCTCATTGAATCGACGTCACTCTCGGTCTCGCGATCGACCTTACAATCGTCATTACTATCGATTCCACTATCGATCTCATTATCGATCTCATTATCGATCTCACAATCGATCTCAAGATCCAGAATATTAATTTTCAAAACATCCACTGATTGGGTTTTCTCAGGTGTAATTTTACTTCCAGCTCTTCCAGCAAGCTTCTGCCAGCTTCGGCTGGCGACTTCCCTGCATCCTCACTTTCAATGGCCGCTGCGGACCTTTTCCTGGGTGCTCTGGGCAAAAAAAAACATTTACGGGCCAAACCACAGCTTGGAATCTCGAGAACTGGGAGCAGGAGAACGCCCCCGACTCGTCAATCTTGCATCAACTTGTCGATTATACGTTCGCAAGCCTTCCGCCAGCGGCAGCCATATAGCCGCCCGACCAACAGACAGGCCCAGAGAACGGCCTGCGACGAGGCGGCGACGGGGCGGCGACGGCGGCCACATAGCCGCCAGACTGACAGACGGGCACAGCTCCTTAGAACACAAAAAAAGCCTTAGCAGGCACTGTGTGGGAAATATGGATATAGCTTCATTGGAATATACTTGTATCTGTTGGTGTACATTTGTCTCGCCTGGGAGTCGAAGTTGCCACACGCGCGCATTATCGCACCTGGCGCCTCTCCATGCTGAGGGGGTGTCCCTGCTGCGCGCCTCCTAGCAGCCATCTTGGCACTGAATTTACGACGACCCCGAGTGGCAATTACCCTCTTCCTCCTCCTCAACACGATATTCATTCCCTCCGCCTCCTTTCAGAGTGCGAACGTAGGGTGCGTCCGAGTGGCTGTCCCCCACGAGAGACCGAGGGCGAGCTTGATGGGCATCCGCCGGCACCCAGGGGGCTCCCGAACAGGAGGAGTTCGAGGAGGAGCAGGAGGAGGTGATGGAGGCAGGAAGGGAGGCAAGTAGGGTGATGAGGAAGAGGGGCGCAAGCCTGAACATGAATATGGAGGGGGATGATAGGGAAGAGAGCTCGTAGAGACTTTAGCAGAAATATAGCCGGGGGGAACATGAGAAGCGCGTTGCGCTGGAGAAGGCATGAGGCGATTGAGGTGGAACACTTCGATGGAGGACGGTCAGTGAGGCTGATGTCGCGTTGGAGTCGCAGCTGACTTCCTCCACGACCCTGGCCCGCCCCATCCCCGACACTGGAGGCCTCACATATGGGGTCCGAGTGGATGGGGTAGGAAATCGCGCCGCATCGCTGGTGCATCGGCGACGCCGGCGTGGAGAACATCTGCTTCCGCATCACGCCGCATGGCCGATGCATCGGTGTTACAGAGCGATCCTTCGGCCCTATCTTCTCTGACCACATCTGGGAGGCATGGATCGATCCACCCCCCCGACACGAAACCCAGAGACCTGGTGGCTCGACCAAACCAAAGAAACGAGGCGGCAAGTCTTCGGTGGCAACTAATGGGAGCCTCCCATACCATCTTGTCGGCTCTTGCGGATCGAAGCTAGTCGACGCTAGTCGACGCTAACAGACGCTCAACCGGCGCTAGCCGACGCTAAATCGGCGCTATCTCATGGACTCCCAGACGCCAATCGACGCTAAAAAACATTAAAATGGTATACCAGGCTCCCATGATTTGCTACCAGAAAAACGGCGGTGGACAAACCTCCCTTTAGTAAACCTCCCCTTAATGAAAACGGCCTGGGACCTGGATCCGCAAAAGTGACGGGCAACCCATGGGAGCCTCACGTGCCAGCTTGCAGGCTCTCGCGAATCGATGCTCATCGACGCCAGTCGACGCCTCATCGACGCCCACCGACGCCAAATCGGCGCTCTCTCACGAATCACCAGACGCTAATTAGCGCACGCGAGTGCACTCGGAAGACGGGATGTTGTCAGGACACGCAAGGCCCCGATGATTTGCTGCCAGAAATCCCCTGCTCCCCCTCGCATCCCTCGGGCGGGCGCACAGGCGGGGCAGGAGCAGAGGTGGGGTTGGGAGGAGCATCGTCCCAAACGGCTCCCAGAAGAAGTCGGCTACACGCTGACCCTGGGTAAGAGTGACCTTTGGTGCACGGCTTTGGGGGGGCCGCGGGGGAACCAAACTCAGGCGCGCAAGACGCTACTAACGATCGCAATCGGTGATCGGGGGACCCATGGTGCCCGCACCAAAGGTCACTCTGGCGAAAGGTCACTCTTACGTGTAGTCGAAGAAGGAAGTGTGAGCATCCGGCTGCGTCCGTTCCCCAACCCCGCCTGGGGATAGCCCCCCTCTCTGCGCAGCCCCGAACCCCTGGCCTTGCGGCCTGCTTGCGTCGGCCTCGAGCCCGGAGGGGTCAGGAGCGGAGGAACGACGCTCGAGGCCCGGCCGAGCTGTCTTTTGAGCAGAGACCGACCGTCCCGGCAGTCATTCAGGCCTACCACGACTTGCCCTTAGAACCCAGAGATGTTCTAAGAACAAGGACAATGCTCTCGGAACATAAGCCCGAGGTGTGAAAACAGCACAGTCCCAGCCAGAAATGATCTAAGGACATTTCGTGAAGACCACAAAAAAGTCCTTAGAACATTCTTTGGCGGGCCTATATGCGAGCCAGGACGCTTCACCACTGATCGACTCTTTCTCCTCCTGGGCCTGCCGGCCAAAGAGCGGTCGCAACGAGTCCACGGGTCTATCTGAGAGAGCTCCAGCTGTGGCGCCGACAGCGCGCGCACAGCGCTTCAGTTGCCTTCGGCATGCTCAGAGCAGCGTGCACGAGCAAAGCCCGAAAGGCAGAGGTCAAAAGCTGCGACGGGAGCAGGCAATCATCCACCGGCTCCAGCGCGCGGGTGAGGCACGAGGAAGACGACAGAGACTCCGAGCCAGTAGATAAGCGGAAGGAGCGCGGGGAATCTCTGTGGGAGCAAGCGGCCGTATCTAAGGAATCGTTCTTGGATGCGGGCTGCGAGTGCATAGCTGTAGAACGTTTGCACATCTACGTTCCCGGCCGGTGCCCGAAGGAGGGGGCCCAACGAACCTACAGCGCCCTTGGGTGCGAAAAAGGTCCAAGCTGGTACAGTGAACGTACTCTACGGCGAATGGCTATACATGACTTCTTTCGGTCTCGTTCCCCATCGTCTCCGTAACGACTACCTAAGACCGTCAATGCACTATGGAGGCACATTTCTTGTCTGCCTGACGTCAACCCCAACTTGGTTGTCAACCATTCGATTGACACCTGTGCGGAACTAGCCTTGCGCTCCTGACCCGTGGGAACCGATCCTCGAATACGCACGCAGACCAGGGAAGACTACTAGAACTGCCAGGTACCAAAAAACGGATAGGTCCTCCGAGATGTACCGCCACTGTATAACAGCTACGCAGCATCCCAAGACCACCTCCCACAGACGCAAACATCAACTCATGCCGGATTGACCCGTGGCACGAAATCAAGCTTGATCGCATTGTGAAGTCCCCCCATGATGGGATAATAGTGTGTGGACAATGAGAGCAGGCGGAAGATGAACCGCAGTCCTATCGCACTAGGCACCAGGGCAAAGGAAAACCATCACCGCATGCTGCCTCCTGGCCAGTGGCCGTTCGCAGATAAAAATCAGAAAACTTCAATTCACAATCCGCCTCTGCCGCTTGGTCTCTTGCAAGCACATGAGGTTCATGCCCTCAGTGTTCTCCTTCCCGGAGGAGTCGCTGGCTTCGCTGTCCTTTGAGGGGCGATCCACCATGCCGTCTCCAGTGCCACAGATTTCCACAGGGAGTCTGGCATGTGGGAAGCAGCATGCAAGTAGAAGAATGCACCGCAATCTACGGTTACTTAAGCTTGTGATCGTCGCATCTCTCGGTTTAGCTCGTCCAAGAATCGGTCGGGTGCCACCACTCAGCCCAGCCTGCTGCAGACCCGAAGTTGCACCAGGAGGCTCCTCAATGCGCAGCCAAGGGAGGGAGGGGGCCTGCTGCCAGGACATGTCGCATCCACCAGCGCTCGATGAGGGTAATATGAAACGAGGCACAAAACGTGTCCAAGCATAGGCAGCTTCAAGATCCGCAAACAAATGTCCCCCATGTAGCGTGACGCCCACACATCCTCGGTAAAGCTCGCACCACGACAGTGAACATATCATCCTGTGACGAAGGGCACACTTCCAAGCAGAGGCTTTAAAGTGTGATTTTAGACGAATCATAGATTGCACCAGGACCGTTTCCTCTCTCACAACAAACTGGAACTCCACCCACCGAGGCTGGTGTGAGCGCTGCCCCTCCGCGTAGTGCTCTTGGTATCCCTGTTCTTGTGTATCGCCCCCCCCACCCAACACACACACACATCCATGTCAACACTATGCTGGTTACAAGCGCTGGTCCCAGAAATGGCTCCTTCCTAAGTCCATCTGCAAAGAATGTTCGATGATGGGCACATGCTTGAAAAGCCGCGCGCGACTGTCAAACTTACCCTTGACGATGACGCAACAGTTCCCCGACCAAGTCAAAGCGTAGCTACACAACACCAGACCAGAACCAGGAGTGCTTCAACACCACGTGCAATAATTCTGCGTATCCACTCGCTGGCATCATATACCAGACCATGCACGCCACACGCGCCCGCATGCCGAAAGCGTCAAACACCATGTGGGCCACACGCACGTGTCTCCGCGCGCGCACTTCTAAATCATTACGTCACCCATTTTTGCCCTGAGCGTTGCAACGCTGAGTCATTCAACTGCAGAGGTATTCAAACAGATGCCACGCCCCAATGTTTCTGATAGCAAATACGCCAGGCTGTCAACGTGTCTGCAAGCGCGCACTCATCATCCTTACCTGGAAGATCCTGATCATCATCGCCAACGCCATCAGGGCCGTTGTCACCGTCATCATTAACACCACCGTCGTCATTATCGCCCTCTTCAACTTTCAGCGCGAGCATTTCTGTGCGCGCACTCCTCCAGAAGCCTGACCAGCAGAATCGTCACCAAGGCCATAGTCATCACTGCCGCCAGAATGCTCATCCCTATCAACTTCATCATCATGATCACAATCCTCGTCAAAATTGCCCCTATCGTTTTCATGGACCCCGTCATCGTCATCGTCATCGTTGCTGCGGACGCTCCGCAAGGTTTGCCAACAATGTGCGGCCAGGGGATGTGATGCCTACGCGAGCATCGGAGGTGGTCATGCGCGGACGCGGTCAACCTTGATTGCACCCACAATGTGCACTGCACAGAGCGCGCTCCCAGCGAGCAACAGCCCAGTGCTTGTGCACCGCGCCAGCAGGCATCTTCACGTAGCTCCCGCATCGCAGAGTGTTCGCCTTCCTCTGCCCAGGGGCTCGCGTGTGGGGACGGGCGCTCATAGGGGGCCACATGCGAACCCCACCCCTACCCCCCACAATTTCTAAGGGGGCGGGTGGGGTTCACTTCGTCCGGGAGCTCCCGAGCGAAGTGAACCCTGCCGTCCCCCTCAGGCATCGTGGGGGGTAGGGGTAGGGTTCGCATGTGGTCCCCTAGTTCCCTGGCCATCGCTCGGACGTCCATTTCCTGTGCTTCTTCCGGCTTCGTGCGTGGCTTTCTCGCGAAATGCTCAAGGATGCTCCTCGACGGCCCTCGCCGAGAAAAAATGCACACGTCCGAGCGATGCCAGGGTTCAGGCGGCAGGACCTGCCATTTGGACACCCGAAATGGGTACCGAAAGAATGGGTACAATGCCCTACAACAAATGTTGTCCCAAACCAACAGCGGCCGCCGTTGGGCAGGCGGCCTTCTGTCTCAAGTGGACACAGGCCGCGGCGGCGCGGACAGCGAGTCCTGTTCAAAATGACCAGGAACTGCTGTTGGGCAGTGTACCCATTCTTTCGGTACCCATTTCGGGCGTCCAGATGCCAGCCTCCGGCCCCGCACCGCGCCGCACCGGCCGGCACCGCCCCGGGGCCCGAGGCCTTCCCGTCGCGGCCCGCGGCCAGCGCACGGCGCGCGCGCACGGACTTCTCCGAGACGCGCGCCAGCATCTCGGCGACCGCTTCGGGCTCGTTCACCTCGGGCCGAAGCACACTCTGCATCAGCACGTGTACGGCAGGCTCGTGTCGTGTCGACCCCGGCGTTGGTTCCTGACACCGCGGGGAACGTCTAACCTTGAACGATCGGCCGTTTCCGAAACGTCCCAATCGCTCCACATCGAACGATTCTGGGTCCCCAACGGCGTTCAACGTTGAACGCCGCTAGAGGGGTCGCCGCCGGTCGACACGACACGAACCAACCGTGGATAAACAAGTGTTAGGTGTACACATTCGGACGCATGCGCGTGTGCTCGTGCACATGGATACGTATGCGCCCACGCGTGTATGCGGGCATGTCTCGGCACTCGTGCGTGAATGCAGCTGCGGATGTATGCAAGTCTGTGCATGCATACGCATGGGCATGTGTAGCCATATGAAAGTGCATACGCATCTGTATACATACGCATGTGCATTATACGCGTGTATATACACACATACAACGTATGACATTTGTGTATATCTATATATAGAGAGAGAGATGTCCCATTTCCCATGTTTTTGCAAAAGCTGGGGGTGGGACCCCCCGCTACTTGGAAACAGATGGCCCCGGATCTGTGGACCCGGGGGTCCTCTGGACGCACATGTACGGGGAAGCCGGAAACACTAAGGGCTGGAAACGCCATGGACAGACAGCGGTTATGGTAGAGGAAATCGCGCCCACGTGGGCCCGCGCAAAAATAAGAACAAACCGAAAAAGAAGCAATGTCCTTATGCTAACCTCGGGACCCCCCCAGTCGGCCTAGTAACGACGTCTGCTACCTAAGACGCAGCGCGCGACCACAACGGACAGCATGGCCTACAACCTGAAAACACGAATGCGTAGGACTATCTTTGGGGCCCCCCCGTGGGGCGACAGAACAAAACAAGGGCAGCCCGAAGGCGAGCAAAACGAAAGCGCTGGCACGGACCACGGGGGTCGGCCTTCGGCGGGAAAACGCAAACACGATCTTGCGGCCCGGACCAAATGAAACAAGTATTCGGCTGTGGGCGCGGGCACCCTGGCCGAGCCGCAAACCAGGAAGCACAACAGGCCGGTGCGCAAACAAGCGAAAGAAGCGCTTCCAATGGTGCGCACGGGATGGGCTGCCCAGGCCGAAATTGGAAACGCTAGGGCATGGCCCAGAGCAAGAAACACAGACCATGGCGCGGCATCGAGGGCGCCCTGCTCGAGCCAAAAGGAAAACATCAACAGCTGGCCAGCTTCTAGCGGGAGAAATGGGGCAACCCTGGAGCGCGCCCGCCTAGGGCGAACGACGTGGGTCACAGGGCTGCTCCAAGGGGCATGGAGCGCGTGGCATGCCACATGGGGCGCGCATATGGGGATTGGGTCGTGCCCGATAGGAGTGGGGCATGGGGCCATGGGGCATTGCTACTCCATGCCCCACGTGGCATGGGGAAAGGGGCGTGGGGCTTGGAGCAAGCCCCATGGGGCATGGTGCAGAGCACGCCCCATGGGACAGGCAAGGGGTACGCCCTATGGGACATGTGGCATGGCGCGCCCCATGGGGAACAGGGAAACATAGGGCACGGGATCTGCCTCGTGGAGCATGGGGCATGCCCCGTGGAGCCTGGGGGGTGCCCTATTGGGCAGGGGGCGTGGGCAATGCCTTATGGGGCATGGGGCGTGCCCCGCGACGCATGGGGAAGGCACCATGGGGCAGGGGGCCCCACAGGACATGCGCATGGGGCCCCACAAGAAATGGGCGTGCACCCGCGGCGGCGCGCGCGCACGCAAATGCGCGTGCGCTGTGCGAAAAGAAATGGTCAATGACCAAACCAACGTCCAGAACTGCATGGCGAAAACCAGGTGTTTCACGATTGCCATATGGTATGGCGCACTGTGACATGATACACTTTTCATTGCGAGCGCACGCGTGCGCTGGACGAAGATCACCAGGCAATGGCCAACCGAACCTCGACGATTGGATGATGACAACCAATTGTTTCAATCACGTCCTAGGCCTCAGCATGACACGCTGCACTGCTACACAACATGACTTTCTGAATGTATGCGCGTACCCGCGCGTACGCACACACGCGTGCGCCAGCTGAAAAACAGCTGGACATGAACAACCGAACTTTGTAAACTGAATGGTGGGAACCAATCTCTCCATTCGAACTCTAAACTTCGACGTGGTATGACGCATAGTAACACATGTCACTTTCCTTTCCTGATTGAACGCGTGCGCACGCGTACGCGCACCCGCGTGCGCAATATGACTGTCGCTTCGAAGTAGCCAATTGCAGGTAGGAAAGTGGATGGTGAAACACAACTGTTGCATGCGCGTTCTGGGCCTCAGCATTCAAGAACGTTTTGTGGCGTACTGCAACTTTCTCATGGCGCGCGCGTGCGCGCACACGCGTGCGCAGCATGAAAACCAAGTTGAACTGTTCAGAGTAGCCTCGGAAGCTGACTGGTGCGAACGAACTGTCTCCATCGCAATCTAGGCCTCAGCGTGGCGTGATGTACTGTGGCACCACTAAACCATCTGCATTGGGCGCGCGTGTGCTCGTGCGTGCGCGCGCGTGTGCCACATGAACAACAGCTGGAAGTGGCAGACTGAACCCCCTAAAAACACACGTGGCGAAAAACACGCCATTCTGCTCGCATCCTAGACCAACGCATGGTATGCAGTGTTGTGAGAGCACGCGGTGGACATCAATTGGGGTGGCCAGCTGAACATCGAACTGCGAGTGGTGGAAACCAAAAGTGCCACTTGTTGCACAGGACTCACCAAGATGTGCACTGTGACACCATATGCTGTTCGTATTGTGAGCACGTGCGCGCGCGAATTGCATTATTGGAAACTGCCAGTTCAAATCGAATACTGAATTGTGAAAACGAAGTTTTGCCCGTCGTATTGTACGAATCAGGGTGAGGTGATGCATTGCGGCACAAAGGCAGCTCCTTACTGCGAGCGCGTGCGCGTACGCGCGCACGCGTGTGCTACATGGACTCCAGTTCGAAATAGCCAAATTATTAATTTAGACAACTGAAAAGTGTCATCCACTTGTTTCATGCGTGCTCCCGGCCCCAACATTATATGACGCACTCTAACACAATATTGGTCCAATTGAACCTACCAGCTTGAATGCGAAACGTGAACGGTAAACATCTATTGCTGCACGTGCATTCTCAGCATCCGCATGGCATTATGCATTGTGACGCGAGTCGTTTCCTCATTGCGAGCGCGTGATTGCGTGCGCGCACGTACACGCGCACGCGTGCGCCACATGAAAAACAATTTTGAATGGCCAATTTTCTTCCGAAGAATAAATGGTGAAGCCCAAGAGTTTCACTCAGGCCACACCATTGCAATCTGTACTATGACGCTATATACGTTGGAAAATTGCGCGCGTACGCGGCAACATAACAAAGATAATCTCGTCGCCACACGGGGCCGCTACATGGCCAACTGGAAAACCAGCCCGGAACCCACGACCTTGAACAGCGGAACCTGGAAGCAGGAACCCGGGAACCTGGGCGGCTGCCGAAATCAGCCGGGAGCCTTCGCCAAATCTGTCAACCTCCGCTCGGACACTGATTGGGAATAATTACACCAGAGGAAGAGCCCAATCAGTGGATGGTTTAATAAGAGCAATCTGAATCTTAAGATCTACTGCGAGATCGATAGTGAGATCGACAGTGGGATCGACAGTGAGGACGATGGTAAGGTATATCTTGATACTAATGGCGAAGTAGATTCAGTGAGATCGATCGTGAGCCGCTCGTCCGATTCATGGTGGGATTGATGGTGAGATCTATAGTGAGAGAGACTGTGAGATCGACTGCGAGATCTATAGAGAGAGGTGGGTAATGAGATCAATGTTGAGACCGATCGATAAGAGGATTGACCAGGAACCGGGGAATCCAGAACCCCGGGAACCCCGCCGCCCACCGAAATCGGTTCAGAACCAACAGCTGGGAACCCGGAGCCGGGAACCGAAATCTTGGAACCCGGCCAACTACCGAAATCGGTCCAGGACTTTCGCCAAATATTTTAATATCCGCTAGGACCCCTTCAGTGCAAGCACTGATTGAGGAACGAAGCTCAGCCTCCGAGGGCAGGGCAAGAAACAACAAACAATTAACCTTGTTGTGGTGGCTTCCCAAACGGATTTCTTTTGCGGCTGGTTCTAGGAAGACTCCTGTTGAGGCGGATTACAGAAGCGTTACGTTTGAGCCAGCCTGCAAAAGGACTCCTTCCGCAGGGGTTTGCAAAATGATTCCTCTTGTGGCGGCTTACCATCGGATTCCTTTTGTGACGGATTACAAAAGTATGCCTTTGCGGCGGCTTGTGAAAAGGATTCTTCCTGTAAGGAGTTACAAGCAGATTCCTTCTATGGCGGCTTATAGAGGACTCCTCCTGCGACGGAATAGCAGGAGGAGGAGGGTGATCAGGAGCAGGGGGTATACGGATTGGGAAAAAGAATATGATGAGGATTGCTTAGGAGGATGACGAGGAGGAGGATTGGTGTAAGACGAGAGGGAGCAGGAATAATGAGGAGAAGAAGGATGCGAAGACATTGTGAAACAAATATATGATACGTATAAATAAGAGGGGGCGACGAGGAATACGACTCAAGATGGACTGTTTCATCTTGGATGGGGGAAACATGTGTGTGCATACATATATATATATATATATATATGTAGATTCCTCTTCCTCTTCCTATATTTTTACCAAGCCCGGGGGGGGGGAAAACCATCCCCCCCCAAAACTGGATCCCGGGGACCTGGGGTTCTCGGGCTCCCTTGGACGTCCTTGAAAAAGGTCACCCGGCTTTCCGGGTCTCCACAAACGCCTTGCCAGCAGACCCAGAGCGATCAGAGGGGTCATCAGAAAGGCTCAAGGGAGGCCCCAGACAGCACAAGAGCGCTCCAAGAGGGACTCCAATTGCTTCAGGACGGCCCAAAAGACCCTCAAGGCACCCCAAAAAGCTTTCCAAGGGGCCTTCAAAACACAAACATCGCCCCATTCCCTTCGTAAAAATTGCAATTTTAGCATATTCGCCTTTCGGATTTCACAAGCTTTCAAGACGGCTTCAAAGCCCCCGCGATCGCCTCAAGACGCCCCAAAAGGCCCCCAAGAATGCTTCAAGACGGCCGAGCCGGGCCCCACGATCGCCCACGAGAGCCCCAAGACAGCCCATGATGGACCCAAGAGGCCCCCCAAGGGCTCCCAGCACAGACCCAAAAGGGCCATGGGAGGTCCCCAGAAGTGCCCAAGATGGCTCCCAAGGGGGCTCCAGGGGGCCCAAGCTCCCCAAGACGGCCCAAGAAGGCCCCAGGACGGCCAATGAAGGCGCCAGAACGGCCCACGAGGGCCCCGAAAACACCCCCACGATGTTTCCGAATGCCAACATTCATTGATTTTGCTCCCATGTCATTCCACATTGTGACCATTCGTTGAAGTTTTTGGCATGCAGCGAAGATGCCCGAGGATGCCCCCCACAATATTGCCCCAAATAGCTCGTCGACTGCTGCAGTACTGTCGTCGTCGTCGTCGCCGTCGCTGCCGTCGTCGTCGTCGTCGTCGTCGTCGTCCTCGTGGCCGGGAGGGGCGCCCCGGGAGGGCGCCAGCCGTCCACACGTCGTCGTCGTCGTCGTCGTCGTCGTCGTCGTCGTTCGTTGTCGTAATCGTCGTCGTTATCGTCGTCCCCGTTTCGGCCAGCCCGCCGGCTTTGCTCGGCCCGGCCCGGCCCGCAACTCAGGAGGATGAGGAGGAGAGGAGATGGAGGAAGAGGATGTGGACCAGCAGAACGCGAATAAGAAAATGAAGAAACAGGAAGAGGGAATCATACGCAAGGGAAGTGCGGAGGACGACTGGCGAGTATCACCCAAACAGAAAACGAGGAGGGGGAGGAGGAAGAGGGAGTCGTGAGATCCGCTTCGCCCGGGTATGCTCACAACTCTCACCTCGGAAACGCTTTGCCTCGCAGTGGTCCCGCCATTTTCGCCTGAGACATCCTCGCAACTCTGGAGTCCGAGACGCCCTGGCCTGAGGTGTTCAGGCCAATTTCGCCTGAGACAGTCTCGCAAGTCTGACTTCGGAGGTGCCCTGCACCATGGTGGTTAGCCTACTTTCGCCTGCGACTTTTCGCAACTCTGGGTTTCGGGATGCCCTGAGCTGAGGTGTTCAGACCACTCATCGCTTCAGACTTGCTCGCATGGCTGAGCCGAGGAAGTCAGACCACTGTGGCCTGAGACCTCCTCCGGACTCTGACCTCGGAGAAGCCCTGCCCCAAGATGGTCCAGCCACTTCCGCTTTGAGACTTTCTCGCAACTCTACTTTCCAGGGTTCCTTGAGCTGAGGTGGTCGGGGCACTTGCGCTAGAAACCTTCTCGCAGCTCTGGGTTCCGAGATGCCCTGCCCCATGGTATTCCGCCACTTTCGCTTGAGACATCCTCGCATCACTGAGCTCCGGTCTGTCCTGAGCGGAAGTGCTCAGGCCATTTTCGCTTGAGACATCCTCGCAAACTGACCCCGGCGATGCATTGTCCCATGGTAATATGGCCATGCTCGCCTGAGACCCTCGCACCTTTCAGTTGCGAGATGCCCTGAACAACTGGTCAGGCCACTACCGCCTGAGATACGCATGTGTATGCGAACCCATAGTTATATATATATATGTATATGTATATGTACATATGGGCGTGCACCGACAAAGCACGTACGAGTTGCAGAAACATGTTCGTACCCGTGTATATATATATATAGATTCACATACGTACGCTGTACACCCACATACAACAATGATCGTCTATTGTATGCACCTAGACATATATACGGAACGTGCATGCGCGTGCGCGTGTATACATGCATGTGCGCATGTACGCACGCACGCATTCCGCTTGCGTGCGGAACTCAAAGAACCAAGGTGCATGGCGCGCAGCGCCAATGCAGTCTTGTATATATATATATATATATGTATGTTGCTATATGTATGTATATATATATATGTGTATGTGTGTGTATCCGATAGATCGTATCTCGCCCCTAACGGTACCACCCACGTGGTAATGGCATGTCTAGCGCAATGCCGACTCACATCGAAAAGGGGGGAGAGGAGGAGGAGGAGGCGGAAGGAGATGGAGCATGAAGGCAGGAGGGGGAGCAGGAGGACTTATCGCCGTGAGCGAGACACGCCTCGATCCACCCTGACCCCAGCGATGCCTCGCACTCCCCACCCTTGACGAGGGGACTCCCAGCCTGCAGGGCCGGCCACCCCCTTGGCCACGACAGGATGGCTCGCGCCCTGGCAACAGCGGGTCCTGGACCCCAGAGGCCTCCCCCGCGGCCAGCCCCTCACCCGGAGCCCTTCCGACGGCCCCATGGGCCCGGGGAGGGCTCGGACGCCCGCCGGAGGACGGGCAGAGCTCCGGGAGGAGGAGGAGGAGGAGGAGGAGGAGGAGGAGGAGGAGGAGGAGAAAAGGAGGGGGAGGAGGGGGAAGAGGAGGAGGAGGAGGAGGAGGAGGAGGAGGAGGAGGAGGAGGCGGAGGAGGAGGAGAGGAGGAGGAGGAGGAGGAGGAGGAGGAGGAGGAAAGGGAGGGGAGGAGGGGAGGAGGGGGAGGAGGGGGAGGAGGGGGAGGAGGAGGAGGAGGAGGAGGAGGAGGAGGAAAGGAGGAAAGGAGGGGGAGGAGGGGGAGGGGGAGGAGGAGGAAGAGGAGGAGGAGGAGGAGGAGGAGGAAGAGGAGGAGGAGGAGGAGGAGGAGGAGGAGGAGGAGGAGGAGGACCCTCTCCTCCGCTGCGATCGCCGAGCTCGGCCCGAGAAGGCCGGGGCACGCCTCGCCGAGCCGCAGCCGCTTCTGGCAGGAGTGGGCGGTGTCCACCACCTGGCGGCGCGCGCCCCGCCGTCGTGCTCGCGGGGCCTCGCTCGGGCCGCCGCCCCCGAGCGGCAAGGCGGGGGGAGGGGCCGCCGCAGGGGCCGCGGGCGGGCGGCGTCGCACGAGCGACTTCGCCGCGGTGCCCGGAGATCTGTCGGCGACAGGCAGGAGTGACCCTGGGCAAGAGGGACCTTTGGTGCGCGGCTCTTTGGGGGCCGCGGGGGGACCAGACCTGGGCGCGCAAGCAGCTGTCCCTCCGCTTCCAGCCATCTGGGGACCCATCTGTGCCCGCACCAAAAGGTCTCTCCGGCGAAAGGTCACTCTTACGTCTAGTCGAATCTGGGCATGGGCGTTCTCGCCCGGTCCCGGGCCTCGGGGGCCCTGGCAGGCCGGTCTGGCTCGAGGGCACGCAGCAGAGGGATGGGGTCCCTGGGCTCCGGTTGTGATCTGTCGCTGCGCAACGATCCTCCTCGCAGCGTCGGATCTCAGGGAACTGCCCGCTCGTCCTTGTGCGTCCCTGTTTCTTAGCGGCGCGCAGATGGGGGTAGGAGGGAGGGGGGAAGGCTTCTTAGAAGCTGTTTCTTTGAAGGCGCCGGCCTTACATCTAGAGATAAGGCCCGCACCTTCTCAGAAGCATGGGTGTTTCTACGAAGCCCTCCCCCCTCCCCCCACCCGCCTCTGCGCGTGGCCGAGTTTCCCTCTAAGCCCAATGGCCCTCTCCTCGTCCCTGCATGCCCTCGGACCGCCGGCCTGGAGCAACCGCTCCTCCACAAGAAACCAGGCAGGAAACGAGGGGAACGCATGAATGTCGTACAACTTTGCCTTCCGCCATGGTAGCCCAAACCGTAAACTCTGAGCGGAGTTCTCCCAGATCCTATCACACTACTTTGTCTCCTGGCCCACCGACTGAAAATCTGGATTTCTGCGCAAACAACATGCTGAGTCACATACATTTGCGACCTGGAGATCTCCAGGGTGTACCCCCTTCCATACCTGCATGAATTAACCAACTGGCAAGAGGCTACTTTGACTGGCGTCGAAAAACCGAGCCTCCTCCATGAATTCCTCCAAGTCCGAGTCGGTATCTGACGCGTCGAGGCCGACGCAGGCACCTCTCGAGCAGGTGTCCAACAATACCTCGCACTACGCCAGGCGAAATAGAACAAGAAACTGAGATTCGCTCTGGTACCCAGGCGGACCTAGATGTGAAGCACATAGCTGACGATCTTGCTTGGCGAGATATGCATCCCAGCCCCTCTGTCCTCCCTCACGTTCACTTCCCGACTGTGTGGAAGAGCGACTGGTTGAACGATACACTCAGGGTCTGGCAACCAAAAACCAGAATAGAGCGATCGTCGCCCGTCCCTGCTAAGAAAAAAAGCTACGCGCAAACACATCGTGCACTCGCATCCCATGCGCATCCCGTCCGTCATGACAACGTTTGCCCACAAAGTGAAGCACTACACGGTGGAAGCGTGAGTCATGCGGTGCACGCTATATTTTAAGAGCTGTGTGGTGAAAGGTATGTGGTGCAGATAGTTTTTGTTCGCGCTGGATTGTCCACTCCACTGCTCGCGCAAAGGTCCCACCCACCCACCGGCAACTTAGTCTGCAAACCTCATGGGGCGGCGATTGCGATGAGTGTTTGGCTCTGGTTGGAGCATCTCTGCGGCCGCGCCAGCACGCGCATGCGCGCGCAGCGGCCAGGTAGTTTGGCGCGACCGACGAGGCCGCGGTGCTGCTGACCGCTCGGCACATCCCAGCGGGCACTTGAATGCGAGTCGGCGGCTTGGGCGGGTGCGATATCATGGCAACGTCGACAATCGTAGACACGATGACGATGATAGTGGCGATGTTGCTGACGACAATAGTAGACACGATGATGGTGATGATAGTAGCGATGACGGCGCCGATGCCGACCACGCCGACGACGATGACGGCGTCTTCGCGTCGGTGATGAAGGTTTGTGGATGGAATTCGATATGCGCGCGGCAGACGCGCGAGAGTGGCTCGCATGCTGTTATCTGACACGGATCGTGCCACACCGGCATGCGCGCAAGGGCGTTCGAATGGTTTCGACATGCGCGCGCGCGAAGCCCGCTTGGTATATTGTTATGAACCTGTTGAACAACGCATGCATCTCTTAAGAATTCGCATCAGCGCGCGAACACGCATGTGTTGAACATCCATGTTGTGAAACCTTGTGTTTTATCTGTTTTTTGGACACTCGATTTTGACATCCTCCCGAAACGAAGGTCTTTGAAGGATTTCGGCATGCGCGCGCGACGACGCGCGCGCACTTCGTCTCATTTCGTGCAAGGGATTCTCGCGACGGCAAGCGCGCAAGGACGTTCAAACGACTTCGACATGCGCGCGCGAAGCCCGTTTGGTAGATTGTTATGAAACTGTTGAAAAAACCGCTGGTTTCCTTAATAATTCGCATCAGCGCGCGAACACGCATGTGTTGAAAATACGTGTTGCGAAACCTTGTGTTTTAACTGTTGTTTGGGCACTCGATTCTGAAATCCTTCCGAAACCGAAGGTCTTTGAAGGAGTTCGGCATGCGCGCGCGACGACGCACGCGTGTGCACTTCGTCCCGTTGTTTTTGCAAGGGATTCTTGAAAACTTATGACTTTTGATAAACGACAGTTCGCGCATAATATGGTTTGCACAGGATGGCGGAGGGGGGGTCGATACCGGCCTGGCTGGGATTGTATGAGTTCACAAGTAGGATGGACATTGGGTCAGATTCAAATGTGTTTTACATCGGTTCCAGGGTGGTGGATCAATCCGGTGGGGAGAGGATGGTAGAACCGATTATTATGCTTTATAGAAAGGAGAATGTACGTGGTGTAAGCTATGCGGTGCAAGCGTTGAAATGCAAGCCATGTGGTGGAAACTACGTGGCGTAAGTCATGCGGTGCTCTCTTCGTGGTGTAAGCTAAGTTGTGAAAGGCTGCATACTACAACATGTCTGGTGCAAGCTATGATGTGGTGCAAGCTGGGTGGCGCTAGCTGTGTGGTGTAGGATATGCGGTGCATGCGACGTGGTCCACGCTGCTCGGTAGAAGCTGCGTGCTGCAGTCCATACCCGCCGCGCAAAGCACCCACGGGTGGGCACCAGGAGAAACGCCGGCACACCCAGCGCACGAGGCTCCCATGAAGGCGGCCGCGGGAGGGCACCCAGCGAAACCTCAGCTCACCCACTCGGCACAGCCAGACAGCGCACGAGGCGCCCAAGAGCGCCCACGGTCGGCCGCCGGGCGCCAGCCCGGCACGCGCCCCCAGCGCACGAGGCGCCCACGAGGCGCCCACGGGCGATGACTGGGCGAGCCTTGGCACTCCCACCCTGGCGCACGAGACGCCCACGGACGCGCACCGTCCACCCAACAGGCATCAGCTGAAAACCTGACACGCCCAACCAATGACCTTCAGTGCGCTGAGCAAGGGCCCTCGAGTGCAAGCGCTGTCTGGGGAACTGTGCAAGTCTGGAGCCCTTGCAAGCATCAGACGAAGTACCGAACACGCAGCACAGAAAGCACATGATAGCCAAAACATGGACCCCATGTAAGAAGCGTTTGCAATCTCGACGCGCAAAATGTGAGGAACAATCCTTGCCGTGCAAAGCTAGGCGGCGGCGACGACGATGACGACGACTATGATGATGATGGTGGTGGTGGTGGTGGAGCTGATGACGAGGGCGACGAAAAAAAACAACTACGATGGTGATGCTTATGATGATGATGGTGATGCTGCTGCTGCTGCTGATGAAGATGATGAAGATGAAGATGAAGATGAAGATGATGATGATGATGATGATGATGATGATGATGATGATGATGATGATGATGATGATGATTATGATGATGATGATCCACGCGGCCGAAGAGGTCAGGAGCTCCCTGCTCGCATGATGATGATGATGACGACGGTGTTGATGACACTGCGGGCGATGTAGTGACGGTAACGATGGTACTGATGAGGATGAGGATGATGTGCGCGCACAAGACTTCTCATATAAGTTTGAGCAATTTCACCTTAACATGCTGACAAAACCCGTGCTTGTGAAAATTACCCAGGAACGGAAGTATGGAGACGCGCGCGTGCAGCCAGCATTGTGTCATACGCGCACGTGTGCGCCGCATGATCCCATCCGACAGAGAGAGCACACAACCATAACTTATGATATGCCCACAGCAAGTATGCGCAGTCACCGGGCACACTTCTGCTTGGCGAGGCCACGTTACTGTGAACAACGTTTGATCCAAACTTCTGGGGAGCCTATGGTTATGTCGGGCGTGTCCTCCCTGCTCCACGGGCAGGCGCGACAAAGGAAGGGCTCGAGGGAGGCAGGCGGAGAGCGGGACGTCGCAGAATTTCCCGCAGCACGTTGGCCAAAATCGCACGCGCGCTCACCCCAAATCGCCCCCACAAAAAGTCCCCAGGAGGCTCCCAAGAGGCCCCCCAAAGGCTCTTGAATACCCAAAGGGCCCCCAGGAGGCTCCAAAGATAATCCCCTTTGTATTTTCCCCCATGGAACACGGCCCCATCATGTGTTACCACGCCTCCGCCAGCACAGCGAAAGGATTCGCACTGCCACTATAGATTGCCCCCCCCCACACACGCACGACAGCGCTAATCAAACCCGATGCCCGCGGTTCCCGTCGAAGCGTACAGTCGAAATTCTGCGCAAGTGGAAGGAGGCGCGAAGCGGAGGAGGACGCGGCCAGGAACACAAGACACGGCATTGTGGGCGTAGGCCCCATGGCCCAACTGGCCATTTCTGAAACCCACACAACAGGCAGCCGGCAGGGGGATGAGGACGACGAGGAGGGGGAACAGGAACACAGGCTGCAGCCTTTTTCCCCTGGCAGCGTTTTCCACCTCGGGGTTCTTGCTTCTGCTACAACCAGGTGGGTCGGTGTCCCGAGCTTGCGCGTTGGCGCCTGTGTCGGCTCTCGGGTGCCTCGTTGGCGCCCTGTGCGTTGGGTGGTTGTCCCGAGGTTTCGCCACGTTGGCGCCAGTCTCCGCGCGGGGGCACCAAGCGCGCCCACAACATGGGCTTACACATCACAGACCACGCCGCATATTCTACCGCCGCACGGCTCACACCGCATAGCGTCAGCTTGTGATTCAAAAAAAAAGAGGCGGGGCGCGTCAGCAACAAAAATGATTCCCATGCTTGGGCGAATCGCAGGGGATGCGCCCGCCAGATGGAAACACGCGGCGGCGACGCCGATGATCAACGCCGACGCCTGGCCGACAGCTGGAGGGCAACAGACGCGACGCAAGCAGCACCGCTACAGCGGACGGGGACAGCGGCGCCTCCGCTCCAGCGGGGCGGCTGGGCCAGGCGGCTACAGACAATAACTACCCTGGCGAAGAAACCAACCATATGCAGTTGTGAGTGCCGCAGCTGTGGGTATCCTCTTCCGTGGGGCTCCCTATGGGGCCACGAAGCGCTGTACTGGGCGGGGGAACCGCATGCGGACTGCGCCACCGAGACCTTCGGTGTAGTTCCTTCTGGGGCCACGAAACGCTGTACTGGGCGGGGGGAATGCATGCGGACCACGCCTCTGAGACCTTCGGTGGACCTCCCTCTGGAGCCACACGAAGCGCTGTACTGGGCAAAGGAACCGCATGCGAGTTCTGCCACTGGGATCTCCGGTGGAGCTCCCTGTGGGACCACGAAGCGCTGTACTGGGCAAAGGGACCGCATGAGAATTGCGCCACTGGGACCTTCGGTGGAGCTCCATATGGGGCCACGAAGCGCTGCAATGGACGGGGGAACCGCATGCGAGCTGCGCCGCTGGGACCTGGGGTGGAGCTCTGGGCTCCCTCTGGGGCCACGAAACATTGTACTGGGCGGGGTGGACGCTTGCGAACTGCGCCACTGGGACCTTCGGTGGAGCTCCCTCCAGGGCCACGAAGCGATGTACTGGACGGGACGCATGCGGACGGCGCCACTGGGACCACTGGTGGAGCTCCCTATGGGACCACGAAGCGCTGTACTTGGCAAAGGGAACGCATGCGGGCTGTGCCACTGGGACCTTCGGTGGAGCTCCTCCTGGGGCCACGAAACGCTCTACTGGGCGGGGGGGACGCATGCGGACTGCGCCACTGGGACCTTCGGTGAAGCTTCCTCTTGGGCCACGACACGCTGTACTGAGAGGGGGGGACGCATGCGGACTGCGCCACTGGGACCACGACGACGACGACGACACGACGACGACGACGACGACGAAGACGACGACGACGACGACGACGACGACGACGACGACGACGACGACGACCCACTGCGGATGGTGGGGGGTCGGATGCTGCGTAGGCCCGCTGTCCTTGACGGCGACGCATTGCGGATGCCCGGATGAACAGCAGGGGGGTGCAGTCGACGACGACGACGACGCGACGACGACGCGGCGACAACGCGAAGACCACGACGACGACAACGACGACGACGACGGCGGCGGAGATGGCGGCGACGGCGACGACGACGACCACGACGATGACGACGGCGACGACGACGTACTGCCCGTGCCCCAATGGGGGGGCGGGGTGCTGCGCAGGCCCGCTGTAATCGGCGACGACGACGACGACGACTACGACCACGACCACGATGACGACGAAGACGACGATGACGACGATCACGACGACCAAGACGACGATGACAACGACGACGACGACGACGACGACGGTGGCACGTCAGTAATCAGCCTGCACAAACCCCCTGTCGCGCGTGATTCAACAAATTGTTTTGCGCCCCGCGGGATCTGTTCATCCGGCCAGGGGGAACGAGAGAGGGGAGGGATGGGCCAACATGTGTCAACGCCAGGCTGACATTACCGCGTAGCTTCCACCAAATAGCTCGCACTACATAGCTGACACCACGTAGCCCGCACCGCATTGCTCGCACCACAGCGCCTGTCGCCGAGGCGGGAGGCTGCCCGAGGGGGAGGGCACATCGACGTGCTGCCTGTTCAGCCCGACGAACGCCTCGTAGCTCGACACCACCAGCGACGGCGGCGGGGCTTCCCCGGCACCACCTCAACACCAGAGATCCGGAGGTCCCGAGATCTTGCTGTTGCTGTCTCATCGCACGTGGCATCTCCGCCCGGCTTCGGGCCATGGGACCATCGCAGATGTACCTGGCTCGAAAAATGCGGCAGAAAAATGTGGTCAAGGGCTCCGGCCGAGATTTCTTCGCGAAGCTCCTATTTTGTGGCAACGTCGGATCTCAAGGCAAGTTGACAGAGTCCGCATGGCCTGCAACCCTCCACAGCGTGTCGGCCAGATGCGGAATTGATCGACATGGGATCCCAGTTGCGGTGCGCTGCAGGCTGCCGAGAGTTATCTGGCCGTCGTGGCTGACCCATGCCCGTGCCAAATCAATGCCATGTGCTGCAAACAGCAAGTGGAAATAATAATAATAATAGAACAAAGGAGGGGCTGTTTTTTTCAAAATGTCCCTTTGGCTTCGTATGTCGATAACGTTGCCGTACGCCCAGGATGGCCCAGGGCCGCATGGAGATGTGGATGCGCAGGACACATCCCCAGTTTGATTCGACCCTGGAAACCGCGTGGAAAACAGCAATCGGCCCTCCCACAAACCCCTCTTGGAACCCTCCAGGGAGGCGGGGACACGAGGGAGTGGCAAGAAGAGTAAGATTCTCTGCGCAGCGTCCTCGAGATGGCCCGAGGGAGGGCTGTGTAGTCTGAGGGGAGGGGCACTCGAGGGGCACAGGGCTGCCGATAAGTATGAGACATGTTGCGACAAGCAAGCCTCGCGGGAAAGTGCAACCCGTGCAGGCGGTCCTCGGCGACCAATCGAATATCTGTCCGCCTGCATCTCGAATTGCCGATATTTTCTCAGACCTGTGCAAAACAAGCGCGTGCAACCATTCCTGCTGGAACCCGACGGTCCCAAACTGAGCTCCAACCCTGACTCGAACCTCCGTGTCTCGGGGTGCGCGGCCCAGCGGGGGGGCCAGGGACGTAATGAAATAAGAAGAGGCGCCATGAAATCCGGGGGAAGAATCATGGCCCCCGCCATGATAGCCACCCCTCCCTAGTCATCACCCCCCTCTTTTCCGCCCCCGAGTGTCCTGGATCAGATGCGCAGCTGTCGCCAGGGCCGGGCACATCTTGCCCCCATGCAGAGATCTCAAGAAGATCGCGCTCACACGGCATCCTCGCACACATTCGCCACGCCTGCGACCTTCGCAAGTCTGGCGACAGGCGAGATTGCACCTCTTTGCGGCCTCACATCGCCCAACCCTGCAAGCGAAATGCGCCGCTCGTGCCTGGGCTTCCAATGCCGACGTTGCACACCGCGTGCGCGTTCGTGCCGCTGAATATGTAGATGGAGCCCTCCCGTAGCCTTCTCCATCACCACGGGGGGCAAACATATCCAGATCCATATCCTAGCGATGCTTATGTTGCTTCCATCGTACTTACGGACCACATCCCAGAAATAATTTCGAGCACCCAGGAAGGTATCAAACCAATTTCGAACGATCGCCTCCCAGGGCCCGACACGTGAAAGTTATCCAGTTTCGGTACTTGCTTGGTGCTCGAAATCATTTCTGGTGGTCCAGGCTGAAGCCGGTTGGAAAATCATAAACCGAGGCACGATCCCCTGGCCACGTGGTCTCAGGGATACGTTGCGCGCGGGGCCCCCGCACAGAGCCGCTCTGTCGCGGCCGAGAAGGCAGGACAGCGATACGGCGGATCTAGATGTTGCGTGCCCACGACACGAAACGGTGACGATGAACGGCATGCGATTTGGGAAAGCGCTCCATTGAAATCCTGCGGCACGGAACAAGCAGCAATGCAAACCTGCGTGGCGACAGGGTGGAACGTCATCCAGCTGACGCACGCAGTCACCAATTCTGCGCACGGACAGTTGACCCAAACGCACTAACACTGGAACACCAGTGACCGTGCCCACCAGAGGGCGCTCGAACGTGAATTCCTACACCATCTATCTATCGGCGGTGGACAAACCTCCCTTTAGTAAACCTCCCCTTAATGAACACGGCCCGGGACCGAAACCGACGGACCTGGACCCGCAAAAATGACGGCCGCGACGCCCTCTCGCGAACCGAAAACGGCCAATTCCTTAATCGACGTGTCAGGGTAGGAGGTCTGTCCACCCCCGAATCTAGTTCATTCTGTGCAGCACACGCTATCCAGCGCACACGCATCCATGCGGCACCCGCGTCGATCAAACATGGCACACGCTATCTAGCGCAATCGATGCGGCCGCCCGCGCGCGGCCGGCCCAAACGCGCACACACACGCACACACGCACACACGCACACACACACACACGCACACACACACACACACACACCCCTCGCACGAGGCGCCCACGAGGCGCCCGCGAGGCGCCCGCGGGCGCCCACCGACCGGGCCCCGGCGGGAAGTCCGGCACGCCCAACAGAGCATCTCAAGAGGAATCAGCACCGCCTGGATGCCTGGATGCCTAAGCACAGGAGCCGAGGTACAAAGCCTTGTGAGGAATCTTGCGTCCAGACTGTGTCTCAGTGGTGCCCAGTCAGGCTCTACGCTCATGGGCTATTTACATCGGAAAAATCTACAAGGTTTCCCATGTTTGCTTATTCGCTCACGCGGGGACAGACCAGTGGCAGACTTCACCCGTTCCTTCGGCAGAGAGTGGTGGGATCTTAAACACAATCTGCCTACGTGGGGGATCCACTGCACTTCCCCTTTCTTGTACCACCCAGCAGCTGTAACATAATAGTGAAACTCACCACGACTTCAACAAGCAGCGGGAAAGCAATCATGATCGCGGGCATAAGCACGATCACAACATTGAGCATTGAGTGTGATGTCATGTGCTCGCTGGCTCCACTGGCCCTGAATGGAATGACCCCCAGATGCCACGATGCCATGAAGGGAAAAAGGAATCCTGAAAGGGTCGTGAACCGCAGTGCTCCCCTTGGACCAGCTTTTGACCCCAAGCCGCCGTTTGACGGCACCAAAGCCCGTGGAGGGCCCAGGAGGCCAAAAACGACATCTAAACACATCCAAGACTCGTTTCCCTCGGGACTCCTCTTCATGGAGACGCGGTGGCCCTTTGACGCGCCAAAACGGCTGGGAGGGCCATCGCGATAAAGATGACGATGCTTGTTGAAAGGGAGGAGCGGGAGGAGGAGGGGAACGGAGAGGAGGAGAAGGAGGAGGCGGAGGAGGGATGTTAAGAGAGGGGGAAAGAGGAGGGATCGAGGAACCCTGACGCGATCAAAATCCAACATGCAGCGCCACCGCACTCTTGGCGGCACGGCCCAGAGGAGCGGCGAAGGGGGCGCGGCTTTCCCCTAGTGCGGGGGGGCCTCTTAGAGGGCAGGGTCATCCGCAGAGGGCCCAGAGGCACCCGAGAGGCCAGGAGGGCTTCCAGGACTGGGATCAAGTCGGGCCTGTCTCCCTACAGGCCGATTCTGGACGAAAAATCACAAATACTCCGAACATACCACCAAAAATGCTCCCAAATAGTCAATGAATCGTCCCCGGACTATTTTTTCTTATTTTTGACTATTCCTCCTGTGCAGTTACGTCGGGCGTGTCCCCCTACAGTGGGATTTTCGACGAGAATTAAAACATATTCAAAAAAATACTCCAACATGGTCAAAAAGTGCTCAAAAAATAATCCCCAGACTAGTTTTTGACTATTTCTGAAAATTCCCCCTGTAGAAGGACAAGCCCGACTGAACTGTAGAGGGGCAGACGACCTCGCGGGCCTCGGTTGTGGACTGCGCCGGCGGAGCCCCGACCTGGCCCACCCGGCGTAAGAAACGCCGCGCTGCACGCTGTGTGTGGGGGGGCTTCCCAAGCCTCAAGTCGTGCCTGTTCCCCTACAGTTCGGTTGTTCCCATCCCACTCAAGGACCACATCCCAGCAATAACTTCGAGCACTCGAAAAAATGTCAAAAGAGTGTCGAAACAGTGTCGGGCGAGTGTCTCCCAGGGCCCGACAAGTAAAAACCCTTGAGTTTCGGTACTTTTTCTGGCGTTCGATGTTTTCTGGCGATCCAGGCTAATGTCGGTTGGGGCATCATAACCCTACAAGGGGATTTTGGACCAACCATATGCAGCTGTGAATCTTCGCCCGCGCTCCCTATGGGGCCACGGCGTGCAGAAATGCGTGGCGGGGTACAACGCGCGAGCACACACAGTGCGAGAGACTGAGAACGGGTGAGCCTGAGCGCGAGTGCGTCTGATTGTGAACGAATCTGCGTGCTCATCAGTCTACGTGCGTGAATGTCGACGACCATGTCGGCACGCTCCTCACGAGGATCCCGCAGACCAGGAGGCAGCTCAGTTGAAAAAACATTAAAGCACGTGATACTGCGTGAATTACATTACAGAGGGCCTCTGGCGGGTCTCTCGCACCAGCAGAACGTTCGCAGACTGCTTCAAGAGGCCCACGGGGGGCGAACGTCTCCGCTGCGGCCTTCGGTGGAACTCGATGTGGGGCCATTGGCCACGAAACGTGAGAGGAATGAGGGGTGCGCCGAAATGGATGGTGGGAAGGCATGCGGACGCAGCCACAAGCGCCTTCGGTGGTGCTCCCTATGGGGCCACGAACCGTGTGAGAGGTGTACCGACATGGTTGCGGGGGCGGCATGCGTACCCTGCCACTGGGGCCTTCGGTGGAGCTCCCTATGGGGCCACGAACCGTGTGAGGGGTGTGCCAAAATGGGCATGCGGTGGGCGGGGAGGGCGCATGCGAACTGTGCCACTGGGGCCTTCGGTGGAGCTCCCTATGGGGCCACGAAGCGTGGGAGGGGTGTGCCAAAATGGGCATGCGGTGGGCGGGGAGGACGCATGCGAACTGTGCCACTGGGGCCTTCGGTTGAGCTCCCTGCGGGGCCACGAACAGTGTGAGGGGTGTTCCAAAATGGGCATGCGGTGGGCAGGGAAGGCGCATGCGAACTGTGCCACTGGGGCCTTCGGTGGAGCTCCCTATGGGGCGACGAACCGTGTGAGTGGTGTGCCAAAATGGGCATGCGGTGGGCGGGGAGGACGCATGCGAACTGTGCCACTGGGGCCTTCGGTGGAGCCCCCTATGGGGCCACGAACCGTGTGAGAGGTGTGCCGAAATGGGCATGCGGTGGGCGGGGAGGACGCATGCGAACTGCGCCACTGGGGCCTTCGGTTCAGCTCCCTATGGGGCCACGAACCGTGTGAAGGGTGCGCCGAATTGGGCATGCGGTGGGCGGGGAGGACGCATGCGAACTGTGCCACTGGGGCCTTCGGTGGAGCTCCCTATGGGGCCACGAACCGTGTGCGGGGCGTGCCGAAATGGGCATGCGGTGGACGGGGGGGACGCAGGCGGACTGTCCCACTGGGGCCTTCGGTGGAGCTCCCTATGGGGCCACGAACCGTGTGAGGGGTGTGCCAAAATGGGCATGCGGTGGGCGGGGAGGACGCATGCGAACTGTGCCACTGGGGCCTTCGGTGGAGCTCCCTATGGGGCCACGAACCGTGTGAGGGGTGTGCCAAAATGGGCATGCGGTGGGCGGGGAGGACGCATGCGAACTGTGCCACTGGGGCCTTCGGTGGAGCCCCCTATGGGGCGACGAACCGTGTGACGGGTGTGCCAAAATGGGCATGCGGTGGGCGGGGAGGACGCATGCGAACTGTGCCACTGGGGCCTTCGGTGGAGCTCCCTATGGGGCCAACCGTGCCAACATGACGGTGGGGCTTGACGACGAATGCCAAAATGGGCATGCGGTGGGCGGGGAGGACGCATGCGAACTGTGCCACTGGGGCCTTCGGTGGAGCTCCCTATGGGGCCCCGAACCGTGTGAAGGGTGTGCCAAAATGGGCATGCGGTGGGCGGGGAGGACGCATGCGAACTGTGCCACTGGGGCCTTCGGTGGAGCCCCCTATGGGGCGACGAACCGTGTGACGGGTGTGCCAAAATGGGCATGCGGTGGGCGGGGAGGACGCATGCGAACTGTGCCACTGGGGCCTTCGGGAGAATTCCCTATGGGGCCACGAGCCGTGTGAGATGTGTTCCAACCTGGGCATGCGGTGGGCGGGGAGGACGCATGCGAACTGTGCCACTGGGGCCCTCGGTGGAGCTCCATATGGGGCCACGAACAGTGTGAGGGGTGTGCCCAAATGGGCCTGCGGTGGGCGGGGGGACGCATGCGAACTGTGCCACTGGGGCCTTCGGTTGAGCTCCCTATGGGGCCACGAACCGTGTGAGGGGTGTGCCAAAATGGGCATGCGGTGGGCGGGGAGGACGCATGCGAACTGTGCCACTGGGGCCTTCGGTGGAGCTCCCTATGGGGCCACGAACCGTGTGAGGGGTGTGCCAAAATGGGCATGCGGTGGGCGGGGAGGACGCATGCGAACTGTGCCACTGGGGCCTTCGGTTCAGCTCCCTATGGGGCCACGAACCGTGTGAAGGGTGCGCCGAATTGGGCATGCGGTGGGCGGGGAGGACGCATGCGAACTGTGCCACTGGGGCCTTCGGTGGAGCCCCCTATGGGACCACGAACCGTGTTAGGGGTGTGCCAAAATGGGCATGATGATAATGATGGCGATGATGATGATGATGATGATGATGATGATGATGATGATGATGATGATGATGATGATGATGATGATGATGATGATGAAGAAGATGATGATGATGATGATGATGATGATGATGATGATGATGATGGTGGTGGTGGTGGTGGTGATGATGATGATGATGATGACGATGAGGATGATGATAATGGTGATGGGAGGGGAGGAGGGGGAGGAGGAGAGGAGGAGGTGGGACGCGGGGCGCTGTCTCTTCAAAACGAGGACCCAACACCACAGGATGAATGGGAAAAACACCCAAAAATTGTCAACAAATACTCCCCAGACTATTTTTTGACTACTTTTGAACGTTCCCCCTGTAGAGGGACAGGCCCGACTTAACCCAAGCCCGGCCCTGCCAATGTGCACGGCCACCTCCAGGGTTGCGAGCGGCCCCGAAAACCGGCTCAGCCAGAACCCAGCCTTGCAGGATCCTGCAGGCTCCGGGGCTCGGCGCTCTTGCTGAGCCTCGTTGACGCCAAGCCCAGCTAAAAGCCGACATCGTCATCGTCATCATCGCCATCGTCATCGTCGTCATCATAATCATACTCTTCATCTTCATCATCGTCATCGTCATCGTTATTGTCTTCGCAAGCGCCGCCAGCATTGTCATCGCCATCATCGCCAGAGCGCCCCCCCTGACCCCTGCCAAACGAGAGCCAGTCGAGGTTGCATCGTGCGCGCATGCGACCGCGCGCGCGCTTCAGGGGCCCCTAATCCAGGACATTGACACGGTGAGGGCATTCGATAAGGAACCATGGGATCAGGAATACCTGGCCATCGCTCGGACGTCCATTCCCTGTGCTTTTTTCGGTTTCGTGCGTTGTTTCTTTCGCCAAATGATCAAGGATGCTCCTCGATGGTCCTCGCCGAAGGAAAAATGCACACGTCCGAACGATGCCAAGATACAGGTTCTGGAAGCCAATCGAACTCCAACCGTGGATTCCTGGATGGCCACGCGTACCGCCGCCGCCCACATCAGACAAGGGAGCGTCAAAACAAACACCTCCTGGGCACGTTCCTGAACCAGAGCCTCCACCGCAACCCGGACGATCTGAAAGCAGGAGCCGTGGAGAACACGAACACGAGCAATGGATTAATGCAGGATGACGAGTAATAAAACAGTGGGAGAGAACGATTCAAACATAGTGCTCTGCTACTTCTGCATAACTCTCTGACTGGAGGAGAACAAAACAAATAGTTCTCCAGCCCGCGACCGGTGTTTTCCAATCGTCATCCCGGGCGCCGCCGCGTGCACACGACCCCCGGTCATTTATGAATCGTCTCGGGTCGGGCGAAAGGGGGGGATAGCAAAGGGGGGGGTTGAGAATCAGCTCACGTAGCTGATTTTCCCGGCGCCTCCCGGCGCCGGAGGCGACTATGTATCGAGGAATGGGCCCCTCGGTGAGGCCGAAATCAGCTGCATGCAGCAAATTTCGTATCCCCCCCTTTCCCAATCCCCCCCTTTCGCCCGGCCCGAGAATCGTCATCCTCCACTGTGCGAGCCATAAAGGAACACTGGAGAGCACGGGCACCGGAGGAGGCTTCGGCCCCTGGCTGCATGGCTCTCGGGCGCCCCGGGGCCGGCCCCTCCCGGGCGCTCCTGCCGACAGGAGCCCGGGAGCCCCCCTGAGATCATGGCGCTGCCACTCGCTCCTTTGGGGGCGGATTCCCTAAATTTTCACATATCTTCTGGGTTTTCGTCTTCCCCCCCCCCCACTTCCCATGTGTTCCCACACTTTCTGGGGTAGCGACGACTCATCGTGTCTGTGTTTTTGTCCCCTCCTGGCAGTGCCGGGCCCAGGGTCCGGAGGAGCCTGGCTCGAGAAGTGCCGTGGAAAGATGGCTCTGTCTGCTGTCGTGATTTCCCGCGGTGTTGCCATGTGTCACAACGGCGGAGCTCAGGGACGGTTAAGCACAGAGCTCGGCTAAGAAAAAAAAAAAAAAAAAAAAAAAAAAAAAAAACGGTTAAGCAGGCGACTCCGAGGGCTGCGATACGATACGCCCGATCGGCACATGGGGCCGTGTCGTGCTACAGGCTGCGAGGCAGAAAGGGTTTGGAAGACAACTGGCCTATGGGCAGCGGCATGCCAGCAACCATTCGACTGCGCCTATCCCCGAGGTTAACCACACCGTAGCTCCAATTACTTCAAAAACTTTGCTTTTCGTTTTCCCCGCCGCTGGCGCCCACCAGCCCCCGCGAAGCAACACAATGAGCCAGCCCACCCCACAACCGAAGAGAGAAGGTCGCGTCCGCGTCGCCTTTGGTGGCTCGACTGCGTCCCGTCCTGTATAGCTCTCCCAGGGATCCGGTCGCTCAATTTCGAGACATGGTCCCATGGACCTCTCCTCAGACATGCGACGTCCTGACTTTTTCAACGCGCGGTCCACACAGAATGCCCGACCCTTTCCCCAAGGTCGGTTTCCCATCCCGAATCGTTTTTTTGAAAGTCCCCACGCCCAGCGAGGCCCCACAGGGGCCGAAAACGGCCGGGAAACATCCCGTCATAAATTTTCGCGGCGCGAGCTGGTCTGGGCCGACACCCTGGCCACAAACTCATCGCCCTGAGCCCTTGTGGTGACACCCTTGGGGCGCGAGGCCGACCCACAGGAGGAACAAAATGAGAGGCCTCTGATCGGCGGCCGGCCCGTGGGGGAAGCGAGAGGGGGCGGGCCTTACTCGAAGGCCCGGAGGTTCCCTGGCCTTCTGAAAAGCTTCCTTAGCCGACAAGCCAAAACTGGCGGAAGCTGTGGTCTTTACCCCCCTGGGGGAACCCATCGCATTGACGATCTCTCGAGAGGGGTGCCGAAATCGATGGGTGCCCCAGGGGGCTAAGGACCACAGCTCCCCCAGTTGTGGCTGGCCTGCTTAGCCTTACCCGAGTGTGCAGAACACTTCCCAGGAGGCCCGAGGGCCTCTCAGAAGTCTGAGCTCCGCCGCCTTCTGCGAGGCCTCCTCCTTCTCGCTTCCCCCCCGCGCTCTCTGCCGATCCCGCACGGCATCGGATGGGGCCGGCGGGCCGCGCCGCCTCGCCGAGGCACCTCCGATGCGGCGTGATCCTCCGACTCTGTCTGCTCACGGGCCTCACTCGAGAGGCCACCCAGAAGGGACGAGGCACTGGCCGCCGGCCGCCTCGATGACCTCGAGGCACGGGGGAGCTGTTCTCTCCAGATTCAGGAGGAGGAGGAGGAGGAGGAGGAGGAGGAGGAGGGAGGAGGAGGAGAAGGGGAGGAGGAGGAGGAGGGAGGAGGAGAGGAGGAGGAGGGGAGGAGAGGAGGAGGAGGAGGAGGAGGAGGAGGGAGGAGGAGGAGGAGAGGAGGAGGAGAGGAGGGAGGAGGAGGGAGGAGGAGGAGGAGGAGGAGTGAGGAGGAGGAGGAGGAGGAGGAGGGGAGGAGGAGGAGGATGAGGAGGAGGGAGAGGAGGAGGAGAGGAGGAGGAGAGGAGGAGGAGGGAGGAGGAGGGGAGGAGGAGGGGGAGGAGGAGGAGAGGGAGGGAGGAGGGAGGAGGGAGGAGGAGGAGGAGGAGGAGGAGGAGGAGGAGGAGGAGGAGGAGGAGGAGGAGGAGGAGGAGGAGGACGAGGCACTGGCCGCCTCGACGACCTCGGGCCGCGGGGGAGCTGTCCTCTCTAGCTTCTGGCAGGCTGGCTTGCACGTCGTGGGGAGGGGGGTGGCGGGGGGCTTCCGGCGAGGCCCCCAAAGAGGAGGTCTGCGCTTCCTTGAAGGGGGCCCTGGGACACCCCCAAAAAATACACACTGATACAAGGATTCCCAACATTGTCTCATATATTGCTTTTGGGTTTTCGTCTTCCCCCCCACTTCCCACATTTTCCCATATTCTCTGGGGGGTCGACGATTAATCGTGTCTGTGTGTTTTTTCCCGCCTGATTCCTGCACGCCGGGACTCACGCGGCACGGCTTTCCTGGCCCAGCGCCGTGTGCAAGGAGGCGGAGGAAGGGGGAAAGAAGCCGCGCAAGTACTTTGCCTGAGTCTTGAATGAATCGGCGGCGAGCCCTGAGGGAAGCGAGAAGGGGCGGGCCTTCTCAGGAGGCTCGGAAGTCCCCCGGCCATCCGAGACATGTTCGAAGCCTCTCCCGAAGACGCAGACAACTCCTCAGAAGGCGCGGGGGGCTTCTGCGAAGTCCCGCCGCCTTCTGAGAAGGCCCTCTCCCTCTCCCCTCCCCCCCTTCGCCGGAGAGAGCGCCCTCGGGGACCTCGGGGCTCGCCCGAGCGCTCCGTCCCCGGCCCCTCCGGCGGGGCGAGGGCGACGCAGCAGGCCCGCTCGAGCGCCGACACCTGGCGGAGCGGGGCCGCCGTGGGGCCTCCGGCCTGGCCGCCCCGGCCGGGCGGGGCCGGCCGTGGGCGGGCCCGCCGGCCGACTTCGCCGTCGCCGGAGACGACGACGGCGGCGACGACGACGACCCCGAGATCGACGACGACGACGACGGCGACGACGACGGCGGCGGCGACGACGACGGCGACGACGACGACGACGACGGCGACCACGACGACGACGACGACGACATCGACATCGACATCGACATCGACATCTATATCGACGTCGGCGACATCGATGGCGGCGGGAGGGGGGTGCCGTGGGGCCGCCCCGTCTGGCCGACCCCCGGCCGTTGGGGCCAGACGTGGGCGGGGGGGGTTTTACACTGTCCTGCCAGTGCCAAAAAGTGGCCCTCCAGACCGATGTGTGAGCTTTTTTTTACTCGGCGTTTGGTCATTAAGTGGAAGGGGGGAGGGGGAGGGAGGGTCTGGCTCCAGACCTCTGCTTAGTGCGACTGGTTGCAAGAAAGCTGCCTATGGGGGAGACTCCACCCGCTCGAAACAAGCGCCAAAAAACAACCAAAATCTACTCTGGGGGGGAGGGGGGGGAGCCCGCGCCGATCGGCAAAAAAATGGATAAGAAAACAATCACTTCTAGAGTGCCAAAAAGTGACCCTCCAGACCGATATACCCATCGGGTCGGATGAGCCATAAAAGAACCCCTAACCCTTTGGGAGGGGACCTACACTAGGAAAGTCAAACACACTGGGGATAGGGGGGTCTGTTTTGCAGATGTCTCAAAGGGAACCACGCACATGTTGAGGTACAACCCCACAAGCGGCGATATTCGGTTTATGGGGTTGCATTACGCGTAGTGAAGGACTGCTGAGGACATCGACTCAAGCTTAGACCGAAACGTGCTGGTTCTGAGTTCTGACCCTCCCGGAGGGGCTGGGCACCGTGCCCGGAGACCTGCCAGAGTGCCAAGAACTCGCCATCGCTCGGACGTCCCTTCCCTGTGCACGGCTCGATCTCGCGTTTTTGTTCCTCAACATGTCGGCTACACGTAAGAGTGACCCTGGGTAAGAGTGACCTTTGGTGCGCGGCTTTGGGGGGGCCGCGGGGAGGCCAACTCCAGGCGCGCGAGCCGCTGCTGCCGCTGCGCGTTCAGCCATCTGGGGGCCCATCTGCGCCCGCACCAAAGGTCACTCCGGCGAAAGGTCACTCGTACGTCTAGTCGAGCATGGTCCCAGATGCTTCAAGATCGTCCAGATCGCGCTATTCCTCGATGCCGGTCTCCAGAGCCCGCTGTCGGGTCCCAAGGCCACCATGGGGCCAAAGGAAAACATTACCCCCCAGGTGAAAAACTACGAGTCTCGGGTGTCTGAAGCCGTGCCCCTCCAGTTGGGAATGAGCTCGTCTCTGATTGGATGTGCATCCAGGACGTGCCTAAGTCAGACACGCGTGCTTGGCGAGCGTCCGATACGGACCTCAACTGCAACGACCCAGACGCTGTCACGAACGCCTAGGGAGACCGTTCGACCACACCCTCGCCGGTACATATCGTTAGCGATCTCCACATGGGGACCGAGCAGATGGGGTCAGAGGGTCGCGCTGCGCCAACGCATCGCCGATGGCGATGCGTCGGCGATGTCGGCGAAGCATCGGTACTGTCGGCGTGGCGAAAATCGTGCTGCGCATCTAGCCGCAGTGCCGATGCATCGGCGCTGCGGAGAGATCCTCCGACCCCATCTGGTCGGAGCCCAAGCGGGAGGCCTGGAATCGTGGAGCGCGGACGTCGGATGACGGCATGGGGCGAAAAGCGAGGGGGTCGCCAGTCGAGAGGTCCAGAAGCCCCTGCCTCGAACAATCGCGGGCGTGCTCGCCGGGCCTCGGGCCCTGAACCATGATGGCATCTCGGTTCAGCTCGACAGGTGCCGCAGAGAGATGGGGCCCGGGATTCCGGCCGTGACTCTTTCAGGATGTTTCGGCGGCGGCCGGGGGGTGGAAACGAAAAGCAAAAAGGCCCTCTCAGAAGGCGGCGGGACGTCTCAGAAACCCTCGCGCCTTCTGACCAGTTTCTTCTGTTTTCGGGACGTCTTAGGATCTTAGGAAACGTCTCTCAAAGGCCAGCCTCCTGAGAAGGCCTTCTTCTCCTCACTTCCCCCCCTCGCTCGCCGCCGAATGGTGCAACCCATGTCGCAACGTCGGATCTCAGGGGGCCCGCTGCTCACCCCGCGGCCACAACTGTCGGACAAGGGCGCGGGGGGGGGGGGGCGGCGAGCGGCGGGCCCTCCCCCGCCCCCCTCGGCAGCCGCGCCGCGGCAGGGCAGGAACGCAGGAGGGACGCAGGTCCAGCAGGAACAGGAATGCAACAACTATGCGCCAGCACCGATCCTCGCCACGATCGCCCTGGGCCTGGGTGCGCACGCCCTCCTGCCTTGGGCAGAAGACAGCTATATATATATATAGAAGAGCACCAACCGACAGAAGGCGGGCAAGACGCGAGACGAGAAGAAAAGAAACCCGTCCAGGGGCAAGAAACAAGGAAATCCGCGGCCCCCCTGGGAGGCTTTCCCTACCCAGGCACAAGAACAATGAGCACGCCAGCCTGGCCAGCAAGCTGTGGCTGAACAGCGACTGGCACTGGGCACAAAAGATGGGTTGCCCTTGGCACCGGGGGGGCACGATTTGTCCGCCCCATTGGTGCCGACAGGATGCACCAGCAAACTGTCAGAACGGAGGAGGAGAGGAAGAGGATGAGGAGGAGGAGAAGGAAGACGACGGGATGAACGGGGCGAGAGACTCCAGCCAAACGCCAGAAGCAGCGTTCAAGCCAACCTGCAATAGGCGAGCCGTCGCGCGCACCCTGGGATTGGAACACTGGGCGGTGGGGCAGGCTTATATACCGCAGAGGTCATCGCCGGGCTGCTCGGCAGTTTGGGCGCCCACATATCCGCTGCAGCGCAAGCGAAACGAGAGAAAACAAGAAGAGAGGCAGGCGGCAGCGGACAACAATGATACAAAGATGCCCCGGAATCGTATCATAGCGAGGCGGGCTGGGCAACCCGGGATATCAAATACAACGAATAAGATGAAGCGAGCGGCGCTCCGCATTACGACCGAGCGACGCAGAGGCGGATACCCCCGGGAGCAAACCCAAAAACAGGGGACGGGGAACATCCGTACAACACACTAGTTTTGTATGGAATTTCCCCCTCCCATGTTATGGCCCCCGCCCGCAGGGGGGGAGGGAGGAAGGAGAAACAAGAAATAGACTAAAAAAGGAAGGCGAAAGCTACTAGCCTTCCTGACGGGGCCTCTAAAAAATCATCCTTACAAGATGCTGTGCGCGTGAGTGTTCAGAGATCGCGTCTCGGACGTATCCGCGGAACGCGTCGGCCCCATCAGCATCCCGGAGGCCGTGTCGGACAACGTTGTGCGTTTTATATACAGCGAATACCCCGATCGCCCGGAGCGCAGCCGCCGTGGACCTGGCGTTGCCGTCCCTGCAGTGCGTGTGGAGAGAGTGCTCGTGGGGGCGAGTGCCCACGAAATCGCTGAGACAGTCCTCCGATGGCGGCCGGTATAATCCGAGACACAGGCGGCATAGGGTATGAAATGTAGAACAAAGAGCGCAATGCTGTACACTGTCTTCCCCGCGCGGGCAATTGAAGAGACACCCTCCAGCCCTGTCGAAGCGGCGGGCGGTGGTCCAACCATTCCACGCAGTGCGAATCTGACACTCTTGGACACGGGGGGGGAGGAGGGGGGAGGCGAGGGCCATTTCTCCAATCGTTTCGTATTGTGCCGTGCAGCAGAAGGTGGGGAAACAGCGTGAAAAAACACGAGCAGCCTGCGCATGCCACACGCTCCGTTCCTGAGCCACGGGGCATGCAGGGTCGAGGAGAGAGGGCACCGCGCGCACCTGCCGCTCGACTGCTGTCAGCTCAGTGGTGGCGTCGCGGAGCGAGAACAAGAAGTTCTGGTCGATGTACTGCTGGAAATAACCCACCCGGGTCTGATTCCTGGCGTCGCGGCTCAGCTGGTGGAGCTGGCGAGTCCGCGCTTGTATCCACAGGCCGCCGTGCGCGGCGTTCTCGAACCTGCCGACCCTGGCCCTCGCCGCACGAGCGGCGGAATGGACGTCGGGGGAGGCCTTCGGGAAACTCATCGACGTCAGAGCTGTCAAAGCATCCACGGAGAACCAATCCTTAGGGCCGCGGAACAGCGCCTGGCACGCTTGCAGCTCGATCGCGTCAAAGGAGCACGGCAGCGGGTCGAGCTGCGCGACGCACATGACGACTGAGCTTACGACAACCTGGTAGGCCACGAAGGTGTTGAGAAGGCCAACGCCCAGTTGCCCCCAGAGCACGGCCCTGTCTACGAATTTCTTGTAGGGGGCATCCCATAAGCTAGTTCCGCGGCCAAGGCCGACGACCATGCCGAGGTACTTCGCCTTGTCCTGGATCGGGAGGGCCCCCCAGATAGGGGCTTCCCTGATGAGCCGGCGACGCACTTCATCGCGCTCGTACCTAAAGAGTGGCGCGAGGACGGTCTTGTCGACATGTAGCCGTAAGCCAGAGATGCGCTCAGATTCAAGGAACATGTCCTGAACGGCACCGATGTGCTAGAATATACAAGAGTGCGCCAAGGCTGCGTCGTCGGCGTAAGCGCGCACTCGAGCTTCTGGGACATGCCGGCCCAGGCGCCGAAGTAGGATGTCCGACACCGCCGCGAACAGCAGCGGGGACAGGGGGCATCCTTGGCGGATGCCCCCTGCCAGGTCGAAGCCAGCGTGTCGTGAGCCGCACAAGGCGATGGAGCACGAGCTGCGGTAGTAAAGGCAGACGATAAAGTTGACCAGCCACGCTGGCCAGCGGAGCTTGCGGATCACCGCGAACAGCATGTCGTGCTCTACGGACGGGAACGCGGCGGCGAAGCCGAAGAACAGCAGCGCCCCGCCCTCGCAGGATGTACACGTGCTTGTCGCCATGGCCTCCTCGATGTCAACCAGATTG